TTGTTTGATTGTTTGATTGTTTGATTGTTTGATTGTTTGATTGTTTGATTGTTTGATTGTTTGATTGTTTGATTGTTTGATTGTTTGATTGTTTGATTGTTTGATTGTTTGATTGTTTGATTGTTTGATTGTTTGATTGTTGTTACTTGGTTAGTTTCGGTTATACTGATCGTTTAACGATCGTTTACGATCGTTCACGATCGTTTACGATCGTTTGATTGTTGTTGTTAGGGGAGTTTCTTTAATATATTTTGGCTTATGTTGTGTGTATGTGTATGAAATGTGTGGGTATTATTTATTAATGTAATTCCAGTACTAACGACATGTAAAAAATGTGTGAATAAAATTCATGATGATAACGTGGTTAAATTTGGTCGAAAGCTTCTAGTGTTGTTAAGAAAGTTAGAGGAAGTGTAAAAGTAAGAAATTATGTCCTACGAGCATTCACTAAATAGCAGCATAAGTAAGAGCTTGCGGAGACACCATAACCAGATGTAAAACAAAGTGCATCAGTGTCAAAATGATTCCCCATACACGCAAACCGTCTCATTAATCAACTCCTGAGGACTAGGACAGGACGAATACCATGTATGCTCACGTATATAAATTGTAAGTTCCCGTCGCACCGGGGGGTAGCCTGAAGACGCCCAAAAAAAAAAGGGAACCAGCAGCGCTAAAAAGGAAAGATGCCGCGATTAAGAGAGACAATGGTGATATATAGCCTACCAGATGTATCGGTGAAGAGCAAGGTTAAAGGATTAACCAAGTTATGGCCCTGATATAGGAACCAGAGGCGCAAAAGTGCAAGTTGTGTTAGGGGTGTAGGGGGAATGAATGGTCCTGACGCTAGTCATATAGGATCTTACAGACACCGGGTTGCTGATTTCACGTGAGAAGAACGATTAATAAATAACCTGGTCCGACAGCTACCGGCACGTCGAGAGAGGGTTGTATTTATGGACCGAACCATTCATATTGTGTTCTAGAGCACTGCCGTTTACGAGCAGAGGGTGTATGCACGAGGTATTCATTATTATGGGTTTAGTCCAGGTATTGTTACTAGTCCTAGATTATTAACTGAACATTCCTTGAGGTAAGACCGTGGGGGTGGGATGTATATCCGCAAATATGGGTATGGACGTAAAACATACATTAAATGTATATCCTACATTAATATGATGTATAATGGGGTATATAAATGAATGCACTATAGTACATGGGGGGGTAGGGGGGGGGTAGAATGTAGGGGTTTCTGTAGTTGAAATTACAACGGCGGTTTTTCAGGCCGCAGATTTTGGAGAAAAGCCAAGCAGAAATTTCTGATGACTTATTTTATGCTTTTTATGGGGTTGTGCTTTGTGTTAGGGGGGTTGGCGGTTGCGTCTAATCCTTCTCCGTACTATGGGGTGGTTGGGTTGGTATTGGCATCTGTTGTGGGGTGTGGGTGATTGTTGAGTTTGGGGATTTCTTTTGTATCTTTGGTGCTGTTTATAGTTTATTTAGGGGGAATGTTAGTGGTTTTTGTATACTCTGTGTCTTTGGCGGCGGACCCTTATCCTGAGGCTTGGGGGGATTGGCGTGTTATAGGGTACACGGCGGGGTTTATTTTAGTACTTGTTGTGGGGGTGGTTGTTGGGGGGTTTGTTGAGCATTGAAATTTTGGGGTGGTTACTGTGGACAGTGGGGGTATGTTTTCGGTTCGGTTGGATTTTAGTGGTGTGGCTATGTTTTATTCGTGGGGAGGGGGGTTGTTTTTGGTAGCAGGGTGAGGTTTGTTGTTGACTTTGTTTGTTGTGTTGGAGCTTGTGCGGGGGCTGTCTCGTGGGGCAATTCGGGCGGTTTAAGGGGCGTCAGAGAATAGTTTAATGTAAAATACCAGCTTTGGGAGTTGGAGATAGAGGTTTGAGTCCTTTTTTTCTGATTTGTTGTGGATGCAATGGGTAAACTCTAAGAAGGGGGGTAGTCTTCGTTCTTTGGTTTACAAGACCAATGTTTTTTGTAAACTATTAGAGTATTTTTAGTAGTTTAGTATTTTGTTTTCTAGGGCTCCGGTTATGGGGAAGAGAATTAGGAGGATGGTAAAATAGGTAAGGGAGGCTAGTTGGCCGATGATGATGAATGGGTGTTCTACTGGTTGGCTGCCGACTCATGTTAGAATGAGGAGGTTGGCAGTTAGGGTTCAGAATAGAAGTTGGGAGAGAGGGCGGAAGGTTATTGTACGTTGTTTGGATTTATGGAGGAGTGGAGCTAGGAAGAGGATTAGTATAGAGGCGGCTAGGGCTAGCACGCCTCCTAGTTTATTTGGGATTGAGCGTAGGAAGCCGTATGCGAATAGGAAGTATCATTCTGGTTTGATGTGTGGGGGTGTTACTAATGGGTTTGCTGGGGTGAAGTTTTCTGGGTCTCCTAGTAAGTTTGGTGAGAATAGGGCGAGGGTTATTAGTGGGAGGAATATGAGTATGAATCCTAGGGTGTCTTTTAGGGAAAAGTAGGGGTGGAATGGGATTTTGTCGCAGTTTGATACGATACCTAGGGGATTGTTTGAGCCAGATTCGTGAAGGAATGTGAGATGGATTAGGGTGAGGCCTATGATTATGAAGGGGAGGAGGAAGTGTAGAGTGAAGAATCGGGTTAGTGTGGGGTTGTCTACTGAGAAACCTCCTCAGGCTCACTCTACGATGGTTTGGCCGATGTACGGGATGGCTGAGAATAGGTTGGTGATGACTGTGGCTCCTCAGAATGATATTTGTCCTCATGGTAGGACGTAGCCTACGAAGGCGGTTGCTATAAGAGTGAGTAGGAGGATAACTCCTGTATTTCAGGTTTCTTTGTATAGGTATGAGCCATAGTAGAGACCTCGTCCGATGTGCATGTAGATGCAGATGAAGAAGAATGAAGCTCCGTTTGCATGTAGGTTGCGGATTAGTCAGCCATGTTGTACGTTTCGACATGTGTGGGCAACGGATGAGAAGGCTAGGGTTGTGTCTGCAGTGTAGTGTGCAGCTAGTAGTAAGCCAGTTAGGATTTGTGTGGTCAGGCAGATGCCTAGGAGAGAGCCGAAGTTTCATCAGACGGAGATGTTCGATGGGGTAGGTAGATCGATTAGGGAGTTGTTGATTATTTTTAGGAGCGGGTGAGATTTTCGGAGGTTAGGGGCCATTAATTTTGGTTTATGTCGATAGGATGATGATGAGAATGGAGAGGGCGAAAGTTCCTAAGTAGGTTTTGATTAATCCAGTGTGGAAGGTAGTTGAGGTTTTCGTTGCTATGAGTTGGAGATCGGCAAGTCCTTCTGGGCCGATTTTTTTATATCAAGATAGGTCGATCAGGTGTGAGGCGATTTTTTGGCCGTTGTTTAGTAGTTTTGTGGAGCTGAGGCGATGTATTAAGGGGTTGAAATATCCTAATATGGATGAGAAGTTTAGGTAAATGTTTTGTTTTGGTGGGGTTAAGGTGTGTGTTGTGTTTATGAGTTCTAGGGCCAGGATAATACCTAAGATTGTAATGGTGATGGCTGCAGTTTTTGTGAGTGTGGGTATGGTTATTGGGGGTGTTTTTGTGGGGGTAATGTAGGATGTGATGAGTAGTCCGGCTACAATGCTGCCTAAAGCAAGGCGGGTGATTGGGTTAGTGATTGCTGGGGTGTTTTCATTTATTGGGAGGATTGTGGTTATGCCGGTGTGTCCTGTTTGGACTAACAGGGCTATGCGTAAGCTGTAAGTTGCAGTGAATGTTGTGGCCAAAAATGTTAAGAGTAGTGCCCAGGTATTTAGGTAGGAGGTGTTTAGGTTTTCCATGAAGAGGTCTTTTGAGTAAAACCCTGCTAGAAATGAAGTCCCTATTAGGGCTAGTTTCCCAATGGTTAACCATGAGGTAGTTGTTGGGAGGATTTTCTTTAGCCCCCCCATTTTTCGAATTTCTTGTTCCCCGTTAAGGCTGTGGATAATTGACCCCGAGCAGAGGAATAGTATGGCTTTGAAAAAAGCGTGGGTTGAAATGTGGAGGAAGGCTAGTTGGGGGAGGTTTAGCCCAATAGTAACTATTATTAGTCCTAGTTGACTTGAGGTGGAGAAGCCAATGATTTTTTTAATATCGTTTTGTGTGAGGGCACATGTTGCGGCGAATAGTGTGGATAGGGCCCCTAGGGAGAGGCATAGGGAGAGGGCTGTTTGATTGTTAGTAAGTAAGGGGTGTGTACGGATTAGAAGGAAGATGCCGGCTACTACTATTGTGCTGGAGTGGAGTAGGGCGGAGACTGGTGTGGGGCCTTCTATGGCAGCTGGTAGTCATGGGTGGAGGCCGAATTGGGCCGATTTTCCTGTAGCTGCTAGGATGAGGCCGAGTAGGGGGAGTGTTGGGGTTTGGGTGGCAGAGAAGGTTTGTTGAATTTCTCAGGTGTTTATGGAAGAGGCAAGTCATGCTATGCTTAGGATTAGGCCAATATCGCCGACTCGATTGTAGAGGACAGCTTGGAGTGCAGCTGTGTTGGCTTCTGCTCGGCCATGTCATCAGCCGATTAACAGGAAAGATATAATGCCTACTCCTTCTCAGCCGATGAATAGTAGGAATATGTTGTTGGCGATGGTTAGAGTTAGTATAGCGATTAGGAATATTAGGAGGTAGGAGAAGAATTTGGTGATGTATGGCTCTGAAGCTATATATCATGTTGCGAATTGAAGGATAGATCATGTTACGAATAGGGCAATGGGGAAGAATATTATGGAGTACTGGTCTATTTTTAGACTAAGTGGGATTTTAAAGTTTATGATGAATTTTCATTCTCAGTGTGAGGTGATGCTTTCTATGCCTGATTGTGTGAATAGCGTTATTGGTACGAGGCTGGCTAGGAAGGCGGTTTTAACAGTGTGTGTGATGATGGTTGGGGTGTTTTGGAATTTTTTCGATAGTAATGGGAGTAGTATTGGTATGATGATGATTACTATTGTAATGAGTATGGAAACATTAAGGAGCAGTGCTGGTTCCATTTCTTTTTCTTGGATTTGCACCAAGATGGGTGGCTCCTAAGACCAGTGGATTGCTGTTATCCTTTAAAAGTGAGGGGACTGAGGTTTTAAACTCAGATGCGAGAGTTAGCAGCTCTTGTTGGTTTGAACCTCCCCTCGGCAGGTAAGAAGGGTTTAACTTCTATTTTTAGAATCACAGTCTAATGTTTGGGTTGAAACTATACTTGCATGATGGGGTTCTAGAGATAAGTTCTGGTTTTAGGATGAGGAGTAGTATGGGTATAGTGTGGAGGGCTATTAGGAGATGTTCTCGTGTATTCGAGTTTTGGATGGATATTATGTGAGTTGGTAATGTACCTCGTTGGGTTATTAGTAACATGAATAGGGTGTATGATGCGGTTAGTAGAGTTGCAATTCCAGTTAGGATGATTGTGAAGGAGGATCAATTGAATAGGGCAACTATGATTGTTAGTTCTGCTATTAGGTTGGTTGTTGGTGGTAGGGCTATGTTAGTTAGGTTTGCTAGTAACCATCAGGTGGCTATAAGGGGTAGGAGGGGTTGGAGACCTCGTGTTAGGAGGAGAATTCGGCTGTGTGTACGTTCGTAAATGGTGTTGGCTAGGCAGAATACTATTGAAGGAATTAAACCGTGGGAGAATATTAGGATTATTGCCCCTGAGAATGATCAGTGAGTTTGGATTGTACCTGCAGCGATGACTAGGCCTATGTGGCTTACGGAGGAGTAGGCGATGAGTGCTTTTACGTCGGTTTGACGTAAGCAGATGGAGCTAGTTATTAGTGCTCCTCATAGGGCTAAGGTGAGGAATGGGTAGTGTAGATGGGTTGGAAGGGGGCCTGTTAGGAGGGTAATGCGCATAATGCCATATCCTCCTAGTTTTAAGAAGAAGGCGGCGAGTAGTATTGACCCTGCGATTGGGGCCTCTACGTGGGCTTTTGGGAGTCACAAGTGGAAGCCGTATAAGGGTGCTTTTACTATAAATGCAGTTAGTAAGGCCAGGCTTGATAAGAGGTTTGTTCATGAGTTAATGAGTATGGGGTGGGTTAATTCTAATATTGTTAATTGTAATGTGCCGGTCTGTGTGTGTAGGTGAAAAATTGTGACTAGTAGTGGTAGGGAGCTAATGAGGGTATAGAATAGTAGGTAAATGCCAGCGCTTAGGCGTTCTGGTTGGTTTCCTCATCGGGTGATTAGGATTAGGGTTGGGATTAGAGTTGCTCCAAATGAGATGTAGAATAGTATTAGTTCTGTGGTTGAGAAGGCGAGGAGGATGAATGGTTGAATTATGATTAAGGTTGTGATGAAGATTTGTTTTCGTGCTGGAGGTTCGTGTTGGAGGTGGTTTTGGCTTGCAATGATTATAAGTGGGAGCAATCAGCAGGATAGGACTAGTAGGGGGGAGGAGGTTTGGTCAATGCCGGTTCATTGGGTTAGGTTTTTGTGTGGGTAGTATGTTGGAGTAGTTCATTGTAAACTGAGGGTGGCGATCAAGAGACTGTGTGTGGTGGTGTTTGTTCATAGGAATTTTTGGGGGGATAGGAGGGCTGTTGGCAAGAGTATGATTGTGGGTAGGATTATTTTTAACATTGTAGGAGGTTTAGGTTATGTAGGTGGTCCGAGCCGTGGGTTCGTGTGGAAGCTACTAGCATCGCTAGGCCTGTGCCTGCTTCGCAAGCTGAGAATGTGAGTATGAATATTGGTATTAGTGTGGGGGATGTTGCTTGATTTTCGACGGGCCAGATTGATAGGGCGATGTATATAGATAGTATTATGCTTTCTAGACATAGTAGGGCGGAGATTAGGTGAGTTCGGTGGAATGCTAGTCCTAGGCTGCTTAGGGTGAAGGCTGAGTAAAAGCTTAAATGTAGGATGGACATAAAGAAAGTCATAGGGTTGGACTATGATTTGTTGAGTCGAAATCAACTGTCTTGGTTAGACTAACTTTCTGTTTATTCTGCTCATTCCAGGCCCCCTTGTATTCATTCGTAGATTAGTCCTAGTGTGAGTAGTAGGAGGATGATAGACGCTCAGGTTAGGGTGGTGGTAGGAGATTGAAGTTGGATAGCTCAGGGGAGGGGGAGTAGTAGTGCAATTTCTAGGTCGAATAGGAGGAATAGGATTGCTACTGAGGAAGAATCGGATTGAAAATGGAAGGCGGGCGGATCCAAGTGGGTCAAAGCCACATTCGTATGGGGATAGTTTCTCTGAGTCTGGGTTGGTTTGGGTGAGTCAGAAGTTTAATGTAGTTAGGATGATGCTTAGGGTGAGGGATAGGGTGATTATGAATGTGATTATGTTGATTGCTCTTCTCTGGGGTTGTACCAGATTTTAGAGATTGGAAGTCAATTGTAATTGATATACTAGAAGAGCATGACCCTCATCAGTAGATGGTTATATAGAGGAATAATCAGATAACGTCTACGAAGTGTCAGTATCAGGCTGCTGCTTCGAATCCGAAGTGGTGGTTTGAGGTGAAGTGGAATTTGATTAGTCGTAGGAGGCAGACTGATAGGAAGGAGGATCCGATGATTACGTGGAGTCCGTGGAATCCTGTAGCAACGAAGAAGGTTGAGCCATATACGCCGTCAGCGATTGAGAATGGTGCTTCGTGGTATTCTATTGCTTGAAGTGCTGTGAAGTAGAACCCTAGTAAGATTGTTAGAGTTAGTGCGTGGATGGCTTGTTTTCGGTTTCCTTCTGTGATGCTATGGTGGGCTCATGTTACGGTGACGCCTGAGGCTAGTAGGATGGCTGTGTTTAACAGGGGAACTTCTAGTGGGTTAAGGGGTTGAATGCCTGTTGGGGGTCAGTGTCCTCCTAGCTCTGGGGTGGGAACTAGGCTAGAGTGGAAGAATGCCCAGAAGAAGCCCAGGAAAAAAAAGGCTTCGGATGTGATGAATAGGATTATTCCGTATCGTAGGCCTTTTTGAACTGGAGGAGTATGGTGACCTTGGAACGTACTTTCTCGTACGATATCCCGTCACCATTGAATTATAATTAAGATTATGGAGAGTAGGCCTAGGCCTAGGAGTTGTGAGGAGTTGTGGTGGAATCATATGATTAATCCTGAGGTTGTGAGTAGGGCGGCAGCTGCACCGAAAATGGGTCAGGGGCTTGGGTCTACTATGTGGTAGGAGTGCGCTTGGTGGGCCATTAAATGTTTTCTTGTAAGTATAGGCTTAGTAGGAGGACGAAGACATAAGCTTGGATTATAGCTACTGCTACTTCTAGGAGGGTTAGTAGGAGTAGGATTGTTGTAGTTAGGATGGATACTGTTGGTATAGTTGGGAGTAGGGCAATTGAAGCTGTGGAGATAAGTTGGATGAGTAGGTGACCTGCTGTGAGATTTGCTGTTAGGCGGACTCCTAAGGCTAAGGGGCGGATAAGTAAGCTGGTGGTTTCGATTATGATTAGTGCTGGGATCAGTGGGGTGGGGGTTCCTTCGGGTAGTAGGTGGCCTAGGGAGATTGAGGGCTGGTTTCGTATTCCTGTGAGGAGGGTGGCGAGTCAGAGTGGGAAGGCTAGGGCTATGTTTATTGATAGTTGGGTGGTTGGTGTGAATGTGTATGGTAGTAGGCCTAGTAAGTTGATTATGAGTAAGAGTGTCATTAGTGATGTGAGGATTAGGGCTCATTTGTGGCCTTTCTTGTTTAGTGGTATTATTAGTTGTTTTGTGATTAGATGAAGAAGTCACGATTGGAGGGTGGAAAGACGGTTGGTGATTCATCGGTTGTTTGGCGATGGAAGTAGTAGGGCGGGGAATAGTATTGAGATTAGGATTAGGGGGATTCCTAGGAGGCATGGGCTTGTGAATTGGTCAAAAAAGCTTAGGTTCATGGTCAGGTTCAGGGTGTGGTTTTGGTGGTTATGGTGGGTGAGCTGGAAGGGGAGTTGGTAGGAGTGAAAGGTAGGAGTTTTGGTTGAATAATTAGTGAAAAGGTTAATCAGGATGTTAGTATGATAAGGAATCATGGGTTCGGGTTGAGTTGTGGCATGTCATTAAGGAGGGGTGTAGTCCTCTTTCTCTAGCTTAAAAGGCTAGTGCTGGTTGCATAGCTTCTTAATGATTAGGATGATAGTAGTGAGGATCAGTTCTCAAAGTGGGTAAGGGGTGTGGATTCTACTACGATTGGTATGTAGCTGTGGTTAGCCCCACAGATTTCAGAACATTGGCCGTAGAAGATTCCTGGTCGGGTGGTAATGAATGATGTTTGGTTTAGCCGTCCTGGGATTGCATCTGTTTTTACTCCTAGGGTGGGGATTGCTCAGGAGTGGAGGACATCGTCAGCGGTGATGATAATGCGGATAGGGGATTCTATTGGGATAACAACGCGATGGTCGACTTCTAGCAGCCGGAAGTGGCCCATGGGTAGTTCAGTTGTAGGAAGTATGTATGAGTCGAATGCTAGGTCTTTGAAGTCTGTGTATTCGTAAGTTCAGTATCATTGGTGTCCGATAGCTTTTAAGGTAAGGTCGGGTTCATCAATCTCATCCATTATATATAGGATTTGTAGGGACGGGAGAGCGAGTAGAATGAGGACGATGGCTGGTAGGATTGTTCAAATTAGTTCTACTTCTTGGGCGTCAACGGTGTTTGAGGATAGTTTTTCTATTAGTATGAGTGCTAGGAGGTAGAGGACTAGGCTGCAGATTGCTAATGCGACTATTAGGGCATGGTCGTGGAATTCAACGAGTTCTTCTATAATAGGGGATGAAGCGTCTTGAAATCCGAGTTGTGAGTGGTTGGCCATGGGAGATGTACGGGGTTTTCACCTGTGATTTAGCCTTGACAAGGTTATGTAATTGGTTTACTAACATCTCATAAAGAAAGAAGCATGAGCGGTTTAATGCGGTTGGCTTGAAACCAGCGTATGAGGGTTCGATTCCTTCCTTTCTTGTACTTGGACGAAGGCTGGTTCTTCGAAGGTGTGATAGGGGGGTGGGCAGCCGTGGATTCATTCGATGTTGGTGGAGGTTAATTCTGGTTGTAGGACTTTTCGTTTTGATGTGAAGGCTTCTCAGATGATGAATATTAGTATGATTACGGCTGTCATTGAGATTAGGGAGCCGATAGATGATATGGTATTTCATAGGGTGTAGGCATCTGGGTAATCTGAGTATCGTCGTGGCATACCTGCTAGGCCTAGGAAGTGTTGTGGGAAGAAGGTTAGATTTACACCTGTGAATATGACTCCGAAGTGGGCTTTTGTTCATGTAGGGTGTAGGGTGAATCCGGTGAATAGTGGGAATCAGTGAGTGAATCCTGCTAGAATGGCAAAGACAGCTCCTATTGAAAGTACATAGTGGAAGTGGGCGACTACGTAGTATGTGTCATGGAAAGCAATGTCTAGTGAAGAGTTGGCTAATACAATTCCTGTTAAGCCTCCAATGGTGAAGAGGAAGATGAAACCTAAGGCTCATAGTATTGGGGGATCTCATTTAATGGTTCCTCCATGTAGTGTGGCTAGTCAGCTAAAGACTTTAATGCCAGTTGGGATAGCAATGATTATGGTGGCGGATGTGAAGTATGCTCGGGTATCTACGTCTATTCCTACTGTAAATATGTGGTGGGCTCATACGATGAAGCCTAGGAATCCGATGGATAGTATAGCTCATACTATTCCTATATAACCGAACGGTTCTTTTTTGCCGGCATAGTAGGCTACCACATGAGAGATGATTCCGAAGCCAGGCAGGATTAAGATGTAGACTTCTGGGTGGCCGAAGAATCAGAAGAGATGTTGGTATAGGATTGGATCTCCCCCTCCGGCAGGGTCGAAGAATGTAGTGTTGAGGTTTCGGTCTGTTAGTAGTATAGTGATGCCTGCAGCTAGGACTGGGAGGGAGAGTAGTAGTAGGACGGCAGTGATTAGGACAGATCATACGAATAGGGGGGTTTGATATTGGGATAGGGCTGGGGGTTTTATGTTGATAGCGGTTGTGATAAAGTTAATTGCCCCTAGGATAGAAGATACACCTGCTAGGTGGAGGGAGAAAATAGCTAAGTCTACTGAGGCCCCAGCATGTGCTAGGTTGCCAGCTAGTGGGGGGTAGACTGTTCATCCTGTACCTGCTCCTGCCTCTACTGTGGAGGAGGCAAGTAGCAGTAGGAAGGACGGGGGGAGTAGTCAGAAGCTTATGTTGTTTATGCGTGGGAATGCCATGTCTGGGGCGCCGATTATAAGTGGTACTAGCCAGTTTCCAAATCCTCCAATCATGATGGGCATGACTATGAAGAAGATTATTACGAAGGCATGGGCGGTAACAATCACGTTGTAGATTTGGTCGTCTCCTAGTAGGGTTCCTGGTTGGCCAAGTTCTGCACGGATTAGTAGGCTCAAAGCGGTGCCAATTATGCCAGCTCATGCGCCGAAAATTAAGTAAAGAGTTCCGATGTCTTTGTGGTTGGTTGAAAATAATCATCGATTGATGAAGGTCACAGGTAAGATGGCTGAGTGTCGAAGCGTTAGGCTGTAGTCCTTTTTACAGGGGTTCAATTCCTCTTCTTATCGACTCTGTGGTGAAGTTCATGTTGAGTTGCAAGCTCATTGATGTACACTGAAAGTGTGCCGGAGTCTTATTTTAGATAGAGGCCTGTTGGTTTGGGCATCTAGCTGTTAACTAGAGTTTTATGGGATCGAGGCCCATCTGTCTAGATGAGGTCCTAGCTTAATTAAAGCGCCTGAGTTGCATTCAGGAGATGCGGGATAGTACCCTGCGGGTCTTAGCAGAAACTAAGAGGGTTTAACTCTTGTTTAAGGCTTTGAAGGCCTTCGGTTTGGGTTGATCCTAAGTTTCTAGATGGTGGTGAGGACTATGGGAGAGAGGGGTAGGAGTAGGGTTGATAGGGAGGTGAAGATGGCAATTAGAGTGTTTGTTGATTTGTTGGTATGCCATTGTTTTATGTGGTTTGTGGGGTTCGGTGGAAGTGTGATTGTTGAGTGGTATGCGAGGCGAAGGTAGAAGAATAGTCCTAGCAGTGAGAGTATGGTAATGATTGTAGCTGCTACGGTTATTTCTTGTTTAGTGAGTTCTTGAATGATGAGTCATTTTGGTAGGAAACCTGTTAGGGGGGGAAGGCCTGCTAGGGAGAGGAGTGTTAGTATTAGGGCTGCGTTTAATGTAGGGATTTTTGTTCATGTAATTATTATTGTTGATAGTGTTAGGGTCTTAGTTGTATTGAGGGTAAGGAATACAGTGGTAGTTATTAAAGAGTATAGGTAGAAGGTTAGTAAGGTGAGCTTGGGGTTGTAGGTGATAATGATAGCTATTCAGCCTAAATGGGAGATGGATGAAAAGGCTAAAATTTTTCGAATTTGTGTTTGGTTTAGTCCTATTCAGCCCCCCATGGCAGCAGAAGCAATGGCTATGAGTGTTAGTAGTGTTGGGTTTAGGGAGTGGGATGTTAGGAATAGAATTGTGATTGGGGGAAATTTCATAACTGTGGAGAGTAGTAGGGCTGTGGTTAATGGTGAGCCTTGAAGTACTTCGGGAATCCAAAAGTGGAATGGTACTAGGCCTAGTTTGATTGCAATTGCTGCTGTCAACAGGAGAGATGATACGGGCTGGTTTAATTGGGTGATATCTCACTGTCCTGTAAATCAGGCGTTGATTATGCTCGAAAAAAGAACTAGTGCTGAGGCGGTTGCTTGTACTAGGAAATATTTAATTGCAGCTTCAATCGCTCGTGGGTGGTGAGATTTTGAAATGAGAGGAATGATGGCAAGGGTATTAATTTCTAGTCCGGCCCAGGCCGATATTCAGTGGTTGCTTGAGATTGTGATGGTTGTCCCTAGGAGTAGACTTGCGAGGAAAATTAGTTTTGCGTGTGGGTTGATTAGCAAGGGAAGGGGTTAAACCATCATTTTCGGGGTATGGGCCCGATAGCTTTTTTAGCTGACCTTGCTAGGAAATAATATAAAGGAAGTATGGGGAGTTTTGATCTCTCCTGTGTAGGTTCAATTCCTACTTTTCTAATTTTAGTTAGGAAATGAGAGGGCTGGTGTACCTCTATGTTCACTTTATCATAGTGACCCTTTGACGTTCAGGCACATTTCCTTAAATAAGGAGGCAGGCCTGCGTAGGAGATTGGTATGCTTGCGTGTCAAATGCATAGTGCTAGGGTTAGGGGGAGGAAGTTCTTTCAAAGGAGGTGCATGAGCTGGTCGTAGCGGAATCGTGGATAAGAAGCTCGGATTCATAGGAAGCCTGAGGAGAGGAGAAGGACTTTGGTGGCTAGGGTTACTGGGTATAGTTCTGGAGAGGGATTAAGTGAGCTTGGGTTTAGAAATAGGATAGTGGTTAGTGTGTTTATTAGTATGATATTTGCGTATTCAGCTAAGAAGAATAGGGCAAACGGGCCCGCGGCGTACTCTACGTTGAACCCTGAAACTAGTTCGGATTCCCCTTCTGTAAAATCCAACGGGGCACGGTTTGTCTCAGCGAGCGTGGAAATGTATCATATTATTGCAAGAGGCCAGGAGGAAAAAATAAGGTATAGCGGTTCTTGGGTAATAGCTAGGGTGCTTAAAGTGTAGTTTCCGCTTAGTAGCATTATTGATAGGAGGATGATGGCTAGTGTTACTTCATAGGAAATGGTTTGTGCTACTGCTCGTAGGGCCCCGATGAGTGCGTATTTTGAGTTTGAAGCCCACCCTGATCATAAGATTGAGTATACTGCTAGGCTTGATATGGCCAGGAGGAAGAGTAGGCCCAGGTTTAAGTCGGTAAGAGGAAAGGGGAGGGGAAGGGGGATTCAGATTGTGATTGCTAGGAGAAGGGCTAGAATAGGTGTTATAATAAAGAGGAATGGAGAAGAAGTGGATGGGCGGATGGGCTCTTTGAGGAATAGTTTTACACCGTCTGCGATAGGTTGGAGTAGGCCGAAGGGGCCTACAATGTTTGGACCCTTTCGGGCTTGTATATAGCTTAGGATTTTTCGTTCAACTAGTGTTAAGAAGGCTACAGCGATTAAGATTGGGATTGCATATGATAGGGATATGATGAGGTGGTTTAGGGTCATGGGTAGCTAGGGAGAGGATTTGAACCTCTGGGTAAAGGGCTTAAGCCTTTTGCATTTGCCCAAGCTCTGCCACGCTAGCGGTCCTTATCTGGGATTGTGAGGAGGGGCCCTCTTGGTAATTTAGTTGGGCTCATTACTTGAGAGGGGAGGCGTGCTTGGGGTATTGGCCTCACTTTCCCGGTCCTTTCGTACTGGGGAAGGTTTAGTCATAGATAGAAACCGACCTGGATTACTCCGGTCTGAACTCAGATCACGTAGGACTGTTAATCGTTGAACAAACGAACCCTTAATAGCGGCTGCACCATTAGGATGTCCTGATCCAACATCGAGGTCGAAACCCCCTTGTCGATACGGGCTCTTGAAGGGGATTGCGCTGTTATCCCTGGGGTAGCTTGGTTCATTGGTCAGTTGTACTGGGTCTAGGTTACTATTAGTACGTTGAGGGGTTGCTCTTGGTTAAGAGGTGTGGTCTTGGTTTGTGGAGGGTTTGTTTTTCTCCAAGGTCGCCCCAACCGAAAAATGCGGACCAGTTTTCGGGGGTTCGGTGGGCCTGGTAGGCTTGGGGTGTGGTGGGTAGTGGTCGCTGATTTTTAAGTTCCACAGGGTCTTCTCGTCTTATGTGTTTATTCCTGCTTTTGCACAGGAAGATCAATTTCACTGATTACCTATGAGAGACAGTTAAGGCCTCGTTTAGCCATTCATACAAGTCTCGATTTATGAGACAATTGATTGCGCTACCTTTGCACGGTTAGGATACCGCGGCCGTTGAACGTTGGGTCACTGGGCAGGCATCACCTTCAATACTTGTTAGGCTGAAGGCTATGTTTTTGGTAAACAGTCGGGCCTTGGGTTTGCCTAGTTCCTTTTATAGGTTTTAATCTTTCTAATAGGGCGCCCCTGGGTTGGGTTAACAGGGTGTTTAATGCTTAGTCTTGTTAGTTTTCGACATTAGCTGTAGTCTGTTAATAATGTGATAATGTAAGCTTGCGCTTAAAAGAGGGGGGGGGGTCCCTAGTTACTTATTTTAGCATTAATTCTCCTATTGTCATAGGTTGGCCTGTTAGGGGAAAGGGAGTCGTATTGCTTTTAAATTTTTTTAAGGTGAGCTTTACGCACTCTTCGTTGGTGGCTGCTTAAGGCCTACGGTTCTTGGGTGGAAGATGTATCCGCTAGAGGAGATTGTATTCTTTTTAAAGGAGCTGTACCTCCTTAAATTACTCTTGATTTTGCTTTTAGGGCAGTTTAGGTCGTGATGTCTGTTTGGAAAAATCGAGGAGGAACTTAGATTCGTTTCACAGGCAACCAGCTATCACCCAGCTCGGTTGGCTTTTCACCTCTACTAACAAGTCATCCCACTCTTTTGCAACAGAGACGGGTTCGCTCAAATGTAGCTGCTTGTGAGTAGCTCGCTTGGGTTTCGGGGTGACAAGCTTTAGTTCGTTTTGCTTGGTTGTTTCTTGCTAAACCATGATGCAAGAGGTATAAGGGTTTATCTTTGCTGTTTGTTGCTTTAGTCTTTCATTGCTATTTCATCTTTCCCTTGCGGTACATAGGTTTCTATCGCGCCAAGTGTCTTTTCTATCGCCTATACTAAGTTGAAGGAATGCTTTAGTTCTAGTGGTAAGTGAGTTTTGGTTGCTTGCTGTTGGGGCTATGGTTGGGCTAGAGTTGGGCTTCAAGACGATCTGATAGGTAGCAGATATCTTTCAGGTGTAAGCTGAATGCTTTGCGTTATAGCTACGTCTTGGTGCTAAGTGCACCTTCCGGACACTTACCTTGTTACGACTTACCTCGTCTTTGGCTGATTGGTGTGTTTATTTATTGGAGGTTCAATAGCTTGTGAGAGGGTGACGGGCGGTGTGTACGTGCCTCAGAGCCGACTTAAAGAGGACATTATTATTTCTCTTTACTGCTAAATCCGCCTTCTAGGGGAGAGTTTCAGTCCCCTTTTCGTGAGTCTTCTATTTTAGAAAATGTAGCCCATTTCTTCCACCCCATGGGCTATACCTTGACCTGTCTTATTAGCGCGTGGGGAGGGGCTATTGTGCCCACTGTAGGGCTCTCAGAAGAGGTGAGCTGGCGACGGCGGTATGTAGGCTGCGTTGGCAAGGAGTGGTCGGGTGGATCGTGGGTTATCGATTATAGAACAGGCTCCTCTAGGTGGGTTTGGGGCACCGCCAAGTCCTTAGAGTTTTAAGCGTTTGTGCTCGTAGTTCCCAGGCGGATACTTCAGTGGGGGTAAGTATCGAGATTAGGGCCAGGCGTAGTGGGGTATCTAATCCCAGTTTGTGCCCTAGCTTTCGTGGGGTTTAATCAGTCATGGTTGCTAAGATTGTTTTGACAATGGTTTTAGATGCAGCTTAGGCTTATGACAGCTCAGTTGCGTTTTGATCTTAGTTGTTATGATAGCATAATACCACTCTTTACGCCGTGTTACGGTTAATTTGGGTCTCTTGTATGACCGCGGTAGCTGGCACAAGATTTACCAACCCTAGGTGTTGCCATAACTAAGTCAAGCTTCCACTTATTGCTTAATGTTAATTACTGCTGAGTACCCGTGGGGGTGTGGCTAGGCAAGGCGTCTTAGGCTACAGCTGTGGGTGTGCCTGATACCTGCTCCTCCTGCCTAGGGGACTAGGGATTGAGGGCATTTACACTGGGGCGCGGATACTTGCATGTATATGTTTGGCAAGAATTAACAGTAAGGTTAGGACTAAGTCTTTTGTCCCCGGGTGTTTGTGTGAGCAACCATCTTGGCATCTTCAGTGCCATGCTTTAGCTTATAAGCTACAGGGAC